TTTGAGCGGTTAGTTGGCCTGGTGAAGCGTTCCCTTAACAAAACGATTGGAAATGGTCGCCTCACATGGGGGGAACTTGAAGATGTACTCCTGGATGTGGAAGTGACCTTAAACAACCGCCCACTAGGTTACGTGGAGGATGATGTTCAATTACCTTTGATCACACCTAACAGTATGCAGTTCATCGGTACCACTATCCTACCAGAGAAGGAACCACATCGTGAGCTTCGTGATCTACGTAAACGGGCTAAGTACATGAAAAGGTGTAAAGACGCCATGTGGACCAGGTGGACCAAGGAGTACCTCAGAGGCCTTCGCGAGCGACATAACTTGAAACATGACGGGAAGGGAAGCACTTTGACTGTTGGCGATGTTGTCATAGTTCATTCGGAAGATCGAAACAGAGGGAAATGGCCACTGGGGATAGTAGAGAAGCTGTACACTGGCCGGGATGGAGTGGTTCGAGGAGTTAAGCTGCGGACGGGAGGTGGTCACCTAGAGAGAGCAGTAAATCATCTATACCCCTTGGAACTGTCATGCGACCGGACGCCTTTGACACCCCAGGAACAGCTAAACCCGGAGGCTCGAGAGTTCAGACCCACCCAGGACGCAGCAATTGCAGCGAGAGTACGAATGCAAGATATTGCTGACGAAGAGCAAGCCAATTGAACATTGAACAGTTGAATTTAAGACGACTCCGTGTAGAGTTTTGAACATTGATCCTTTGTTTCTTTTTATCGATTTCACTTACAAGAACTTTTAGTTTTGATTCAGTTTCTGGAGAAAAACGCAACATACGCCTCCTAAATGTAGGCATATGGGGGGAGGGTGTCGGAAATTGTGCGGTGTTTTATTACCATTATCTTTGTAAACATGAGTTTAAGTTTCATTTGATTAAGTAACGTGATTTAGAAGAAGTGTTAAGTGACGTTGGAACCTGATAGCATTGAACTTTGGAACTGAAAGAAAAAAGAACAATAGAAAGGAGAGAATGTAATGTACTGTGAGAATCAAGAGGAGACGGGAAGAAAGAAATAAAACGAGTGAATCGGGATTTCTGTGAGTGTGTTAGAAGATCGTTCAGCTTTGGAGGCAATTCCTAACAAGATTGCGTGGGAAGACGCCGAACAGGGACCAGGCATGGTAATGTCTACTTTAGCGTCAGAGAAAAACAGGCTTTTTTTAGGACAATTGCACGATCAGGTCTTTTTACTACAACTACCAGAATCCTTGAGTTTGTTGTTTTCTTGTGCAAATTAAGGCTATTGTTCTTTAATCCTCAGCGGGATTGACAACTTTACCAACAAAGCAAAACCGAAACGAATTCCGGTAGTACAGTTGTAGTCAAATATCGTCATCGTGCAATTGTCCTAATGTTGTCTATTGGCAACGTGTTTTACAAACAGTGACATCTCTAGGTGTCGTTTCACTAGGCTAGTGTTTCGAGGCCATGACCTCCTGAAAATCGCAAATTTTATTCCCCAGCAAGAAGCCGGTTTTTCGCAATGGAAAAAATTAGTTTCCCGAGAGAGGGGCGGAAATGGAGTCTAGGTCTAGATGACAATTACAAGGCGTTGGCTTAAGGGACCAGTCATAAGTTGGAGGGGGGGGTGGAGGAGAAATCGGGGGGCCTTCAATTTTTTTTGGATGGAATATGGGTGGCCTTAAAATGCCAAAAGATGACCTTGGGTGGGTCTTTAAGTTTCTTTTAAGTAGCATCCCTACTGAGCAGCATGATGCTTGAGTATTAAAGGACCTGATTTTGATTCAGTTTTACACGAAGTCCTATATTGTGTAATACTAAAACAATTTAATCAGCATTTTGACAAAAAGATTTAATGCTCAAATAGTAGGTGCATCAACACAACATCCATTATTGTGTAACACTGAAACAATTTCATCGGCATTTTAACAAATGATTACATGCATAAAGTCATGTTATGCAATCTCACTATCCGAATCATTATTTGTAGATGAGGTTGATGTGGACTCACTGTCTGTGTCACTGTCAAGTTTCTTGCTATTAGAGCATGTACCGCTCATATAAAAAGGAGTAAGCTTTGGCTGATTATCTTCTTTCTTCCTTGAATCGGTCCTATTAGTATAGGCCTCTAACCTTTCGATGGCTTGTCTTATCTCAATTATAACACAATCACTGATATATCCTTGGTCTATAAGCTGTTTGAGAGGCTCTAGGTGAAATCTCTTTCTCAGTTTAGTGTGAAGTGCTTCTCTGTTGAGGTTATCACTGTCAATCACAGGAATACTGGCTTTTTGAGTGATATCTCTCTCTCCATTCCCAGTCAAAAGTTTACACATCTCTTTAGCCTGCCTCTTTCCCCCTGGAACTAAATCAAGGGAGGGAAGATAACAATTTTTCCTTTTCTCTGACAGTCTGTTTGTAATACCTTGAGAGGAATTCATCATTTTCTCCAAGGCACCTATAGCTCTTTCACACCGAAAAATAGCCTGCGTAGCAAGCGTTTCCGTGCGGTTTAGGAGCAAAGAACGAGGAACGAGAGTCAAAGACCGCGCGAAAAATGGCGTAAGTAAAAGAGCGGGGAGGGGGTTGTTTCATTTCTCGCGCGGCCAAAACCGAGGTTCAATTGAAAGAGGTGGAAGGGCCATTTTAAAAATCATGCAACATGCAGGCCGCTTTAAAAAAATTATCCTTACATTGAATATCAATGAGATTGCAGACATATAGATGTAAAGCACAATGTTCAAGTTTTATTGCAATTAATTCCAATTGTTACATTTTGTGCAGATAACCATTGATTCACCCAAACGACTACATCTGAAAAAGTACGAGAACACATGTCAGGGCAGAAAGACTTCACTGGAGAACGCTGATTTTACATTAAGCTTCCTGAGGTCAAGGATCACATGTACCACATTACCGGAGAGGTAAACATACAGACCACTCTTTCATCCTCTTTTCCAATAATAGGTAGTACAAATATCAATTAGTTACTGTATCCTTATTTTCACGTAGGCTAGTGGTATCAACCAGGCAGTAGACACAAGAGTTATTACCAAAATTCATGATTTGGTGAACAGGGGTGTCACTAATGTTGATGACATGAGGAGACACTTGAGAGAATTTGTTCCAACTGAGATCTTCCCTGGAAGGGAGATGCCACCTCCAACAAGCCGACAGTATTTTCCCACAAAGAAAGATATCTACAGTAACATGTACCATGCAATGGTAAAGAGCAGATTTTCAAACTGCAATCAAACAAATGCAGAGGAAAAAGTCAAGGAGTGGCAAACGCAAACCCCCAATGACAAATTTTTCTTCCGTAAATATAGTGACCTTTGTCATGCAAAATTTGAGAATGATGTTGTAAGCAATTCCAACAACGGAGAGGACCTGGATGATGAGGACATCCGTGTAACATCTCCTCTGTCCTATCAAAAATTGCTCTTTGTCCATCAAACAACTTGGCAGAGAAGACTGTTGAGCAAATATGGCAATGACATCTGCTTCATGGATGCCACGTATAAGACCACACGATATGCACTACCACTGTTCTTTTTAGCAGTAAAAACAAATGTTGACTATCAGGTTGTGGCATCATTTGTTCTCCAAGATGAGTCCACTGATTCCATTAAAGAAGCTTTGCAGGTCATCAAAGACTGGAACCCTGACTGGCAGCCATCATTCTTTATGTCTGATTTCTGCGAAATCCATGCTGTTGAGGAGACATTTCCAGGTACCACCAAACTCAGTATTTTCCATTTATTGCGTTCGACGTTAGGAGAACGCTTCGTAATCTTTGGGGATCCTGTGGTCGATGGGATACCTGTGCATGCCAGGCGTGAAGATTCGAGATTGTTGGTTACTTGGACGGGCGATGTTCAAAATCTGCGCCATTTTGAATAATTATTAAGCGCGCGCACGAATTTTAAGCCCAATAGCCGGCCAAAGAAATTGCGGGCTCACCTGGTGGACATGCGCACAAACTATTTTTATGCAAGCAACTATACCTCGTCGAAAAGCGCGCGCAACTATACCGTCGCGAGTGCAAGCTCCTCGTGCGTCCGTGTCGCCTCCGTGGATATCTTTGGATTATTCGGTAAGTTCATTTATTTTTCTCAAACTTCATGCGATGTTTCTTAAAAAGTTCATCGCTTCAACTTGTCAAAGCCTTACCAGGAAACTTTTTAGTACTCCAAGAGCATGTAGAAAGCCCGATGTCGGCGTTGTCCGAACTACAACAAACCGAAGACCTTCGCTGCTCTCCTGCTTTGAATTGATGTCCTCGAATTTGCCGAACAACAAAGCAAATCAACCGATAACTCTGACACAAAGTTGTCTCAAAGCAAATCTACCAAGCCATTGTGCTTTGACCCATAGCGGTCACAAATACAAACCAAACAAACCGAGTCATTGTACTCGGTGGCCATTGGGCCAAATGACCCGTTGTGGTCACAAAGCAAATAAACCGAGTCATTCTGCTCGATGGCCATTGCGCCAAATGAAAAGTGACAAAAGTCAAATGGTTACCGGGCTGATAAATGGTGATTGTAGTTCACAAGATCATGATAAGGCTTTGACAAGTTATTCTTCTGAGAAAATTGAAAATCATAGTGTAACTATTTCTGAAAATGTTGAAGTTCGTAAGAAAAGAGTGAATTGTCAGAGGAAAAGGGACAGGGAACCATCTCGCGTTCCTGTTAAAATAATTCTAAAGGCACTAAGTAATACGAAGTCTAGGAATAGAATCAAGTCTTTTGTAAGACAACATATTCCAGACAGTTCTTTTATCACTAATTTATGTAGAAATTACAACACCTGGAAATTCTGGTATACCAATGATCATTATTATAGTAAATTTGTTTTTTACATGAACATACAGAAAAGAAAATTTACAACAACAGATAACTATTCTAGATGTAACTGTAGACAAACACATATCCGTGTGGCAGATTTAATGAATTCTGGTGGAAAAAGCTTTCCTCAAACTCATAATGATAATTCAAAATTAAATGGAGGTATGTCTCCTGAGAATGCTGTTAGTCATGATTTACCATGGGATTGTTTAACTGAAAGGCTTCGTCTCATAGGACTTATACCACATGATGTAGGTGGATTTGGGGATTGTTTCTTTAAATCAGTTTCGCACCAACTGTATAGGACTGCTGACTTGCATCTTGAAATTCGTATGGCTGGAATTGGCCATTTACAGAGTTACCCAGAATTGTATATTGAAAGCATTTCTAATGATCACTGGAATAACTATATTCAACAAATGTCAAAACAAGGCACATGGTGTGATAACATCATAATGCAAGCTGTGGCCAATGCATACAACTGTGTCATTCATATCACACAGTCTAATATAAATTCACCTGAAAGTACAATCTTAACTCCTGTTGCTGATCAGGATGGACGAAAGACAATATTTATTGGATATATTAACGAGTTGCATTATGTTTCAACATTGACTGACAAAAACAGTAGATATAAAACAAACTCACATGCATAAAGAGAAAATTATCAGAAACCAATGAAAACAGACATGGTAGACTTCTTAAGCACAGAAATTACATGAAAAGAGTCAAATATACAGAAACAGCTAATGAAAGGGCAAGCAGACTTGAAGATAAGAGAGGCACTTATAGAAAAACAATGTCTGAAGAAACTGCTGAAAAGCGAAAAGAGAGACTTAAAAATAAGAGAGACACTTATAGAAAAAGAGTGTCTGAAGAAACTGTTGAAAAGCAAAAAGAGAGACTAAAAAGTTACAAAGACTCTTATAGAAAAAGAACGTCTGAAGAAACTGTTGAAAAGCGAAAAGAGAGACTTGCAAATAGGAGAGCCAGTTATAAAAGGTCTCAAACAATTTCTGCAGGGCAAAAAGAGAGCTCTGCTGGTCCAGTTCACGAACAAAAACATGCACAAAATAACATGAACGATTTTCATAAGTCCAATCAGTATTCAGTTTGCCAATGCACTGTCTGTTTTGAAGCATGGCCATTGAAATCCAGTCCAAGGAAGGTTGATCACTACCAGTGTCAGAGGTGCATACGAGATAAACAACAACCAAAAAAAGTTTTCTAAGGAAAATGACATGGTGCCATCATTAGTACCTTTACAACTGCAGGGGTTAACCCAAGTAGAAGAAATGCTTATTGCACGTGCACTTCCTGTTATGCGAGTTTACATAAAACCTGGTGGACAAAGGGGCTATTCAGGCCACTGTATCAATTTGCCTCAGGATATAGCTGAACTAGCACATTCTCTGCCTAGATACCCAAAAGATCTATCTGTTATTGTTGTTAAGATGAAAGGTAAAGAGAACAGTTTTAAAGATGTGACAGTGCGAAGGCAAAATGTAGCTGATGCACTACAATGGCTTGTTAATAATAACTCACACTACAAGGACATAACCATCAATCAAAATTCTTTAAATTCTTTACCAGAACATGGTGTTCCACATGGTCTTCTCTCGGTTGAAACAGAGAATATAGATTTGGATGCCACATGTGAACCTGACTTAGGTCCTCAAAATGAAGATGACATTGTTTATAATGAGGGTACTGAAATGAGTAGTTTTCTGCCTATTCCAGAGTGTCAGCAGCAAGAAATAGAAGCTGTGCGCCAACAATTGTCTAATGATTCTAATCACTTGCCCTGGCCAACAGTTGGCAGTGAACCATTAAACGAGTATGTAACTCCCTTTTTAGCAACAATGGCTTTCCCAACATTATTTCCAGATGGTAAGGGTGATCCTCCTAACCCATCATTACGCCGAGATATACCACTCGGAGAAAGAGTAAAGCACCTTTTAAAGTTTGGAGAAAACAAGAATGACAAATGGGTATATCGCTTTGCTACTCACCCCAGATTTGGTTACTGGGCATTGAATATGATACAAAGAAAACGTATTCTGCAACAGACAGGCATGTTCCTAAAACAAAACCCAGGAGAAGCTCATTTGACTGCTGAAGAGCTGCGGCAAATGGCAACTAGCAATAACACAAGTATGTGTATATCTAAGATATCACGCTATCTTAGTAACATTACTGGTTCTAATGCTTATTGGCACAAAGCTAAAGAAGATTTAAAAGCAATAATAGCCCATGCTGGAGCTCCAACATTCTTTTTCACATTCTCCTCTGCTGATATGCATTGGCCTGAACTTCATGCAATTTTTGGCAACTCAGTCAGTAATAATTCAACTGACAACAAACGGCAGAATGTGATTAACAATCCTCATATTACAGACTGGTTCTTTACACAGCGTTTAGAAAGTTTTATTAAATACTGGTTATACAATTCACTAGATGCTGAGTGGCACTGGTACAGATTTGAATATCAAGCTAGTGTTAGAAATATTACGAGTGTGACAATTGTAATACGTGACAATTTTATCATATCGATCATTTAGCTATTTTGGAGATAATCAAGTACCAAAGACGTCAATCAAGATCATTTGTAACTTTAGATTTTTCAACAGTATATGTATTCAATATAGATTCTTCGCTTCACTTGAGACTAGAGCAGCTTTCGGGACGGTTATGGGTGTGACTTTTTACTGTGACTTTTAATTAAACAATCTGAAGTGAGTGAATAGTGTTGTGGTACTACATTTCCAACACTAAGTGGCACCTCCGACGGGACGACACTTGGAAAAATGGATCTGGATGGACTACTGAAGGATCTAGAGGCAAAACTACAAATCTTGGAATACATGAGAGGGAAGGGAGAAGACATCTTGTCCAAAGGGAATACTACGACCATTGAGCGACACCGCTGACGGGTTGGTGGCGTTAGCAAAACAAGCAGATGAAATAAAGATGAAGGTGGAACAGGAAAAATTGGCAAAAGGTGATGCGCTGGAAGAGGTATGTACATGGGGCTGTGGTATAGATAAGAGGATTGAGAGTGTGGACACAGAGATTGAACATTTAGGAAAATGTTTGAGGGAAGCGAAAATGCAATCGCAGTTGACCGAGAAGGAGAATGAGGGCGCACTAGCAGCGAAAGAAATGGAGCAACAACTCGAATTTGAGAGACAGAAACTAGAAATGAAGTTGGAGTATCAGAAGAAATCAGAAGAATTAAAAAAAGGAAAATCTGGGGATTCAGGAAACGCTCAGGCGAAGCTCCCAAAACTCTCGATAACCAAGTTTGACGGGTCCTTTGAAAATTGGCTTTCATTTTGGAATAAATTCACTGCCGAAATCGATTCCAAAGATTTACCCTCGATAACAAAGTTCGCTTACTTAAAGGAACTTATCGACACCAAGGTACGGGCTGATATTGAAGGTCTCCTTTCAATTCAGAGGGGTACGAAAAGGGCCAAAAATATTCTTAAATCCGAGTACGGAAAAACTTCGGAGATAGTGAACGCTTATGTGAGAAATATCATGGGTTTGCCCACTATCGTGACTACTCAAACAAAGGACATTGATGAATTCTACAAAAAGCTTCTGTTTAATGTTCAAAGTTTGGAGACACTCGGAAATTGCGTGAGGTCTTGGGAAATGTGAGAGCGGTACTTGACAAACTGAAAGGAATCAAAGCTGATTTAGTTCGCGGAGAAGAAGGGTGGAGAGATTGGGATTTCGCCAGCTATTGCAGGCAATAAAACGTTGGAGGGACATAAATTGTGATTTACAAGTGAGCATAGATGGGAGTGGATCAAAAGGAAAAAATGATCGGAACGATGGGAATTCACGTCGGAGATCCTTCAACACACGTCAAGGGAACGGAAAACAGATGCGTAGTTGCGTGTACTGCGATAAAGAAGATCACATGTCTGCTAATTGCCCCAAGTCGTGACAGTCGGAGATCGCCGAAAGATATTGACCCAAAAGCAATTATGTTTCAATTGCACAAGCAATAATCACAGAGCAGATAGCTGTAGAAGCGGCGGCTGTCACAACTGTCAACGGAAACACCACACATCAATTTGCGATCGCGGTCGACCAAACAGCGGGCGATTTATGACTGCGCAAAACAAGGGATCGGAGCAAGTCATTTATCCTGTAGTTGTTGTGGACGTAAATGGAGTCAAGTGTCGTGCACTGCTAGACACTGGGGCGGGCAGTTCATATGCTTCGTCTGCTATCTTGGATCATCTTGGAATTCGACCAGTTCGAGAGGAATTTAAACGTATTGAGATGATGCTCGGGTCCACTAGCAAGGTCATTGGAGTTTATGGCGACCATTAGCAGTTTAAATGGGAAGTTCGGTTGAAAACCGAAGTCACGAAAAGTTGACCGTGGAACTTTGTTGTCACCGACAACCCAAAATATGGCGAGGTATTACAGAAATATACCCATCTGGAAAGGGTACATATGGATGATGATGATACAAAGGCTGAACTTCCCGTCCACATTATACTTGGAGCAAGCGACTCACGCAAAAAATCAAGACTGAAAACAAACCAAAAATTGGACGTCCTGGGGAGCCTGTAGCGGAATTAACACAATTTGGATGGACAATTATGTCACCAGGAAAGGAAGTGGACCTTTCTAACATGTTTCTAACACAAACGGCATGACAGACTATGAGGAACTATGCAAACTGGATGTCCTGGGATTGCGAGATAAACCAAGTGCAGATCGATCAGATGTGTATGAAGAATTCAAAGAACAATTGACTCGAAGTCCGGAAGGCTGGTACGAAACAGGGCTACCCTGGAGAGGAGACCACCCTACTTTGCCAAACAACAAGACGGGTAGTTTGAAGCGTCTCGACAGTACCATAAGAAAACTGGAGAAAAAAGGAATATTAGAGCAGTACGATGCCATCATCAAAGCTCAGCTTGCAGAGAACATAGTAGAACCAGTGGGAGAACACGTGGTGGGGCGAGAGTTCTATATTCCCCACAAGCCTGTGATCAGGAGACCGCTGAAAGTACGAAGCTCGATTGTCTACGACGCCCGCTCGTGCCCACGACAAGGCGCCTTCACTGAATGACTGCCTCCATGCAGGTCCACCTTTGCAAAATCAACTATGGGCGGTACTGGTACGAGCGCGATTTCACTCAGTTCTTACAACGGGAGACATGAAGCAAGCCTTTTTACAAGTTAGGATCCGCGAGCAAGATCGTGATGTTATGCGATTTCATTGGATAACTGATTGTGAGACGAGACGGTGGAGACTTTATTTTCACCAGAGCATTGTTTGGACTTGCCCCATCGCCGTTTCTGCTGGGGGAGTGGTTCAGCAACATTTAGAAAATTGTCGTGAGCAGTACCCAAAAGTTGTGGAAGAAATAGAAAAGAGCCTTTACGTGGACGATTTGATCAGCGGTGGCCCAACGATACCAGCAGCTAGACAAGTCAAGGAGACTTCAAGTGACATATTCGCACAAGGTGGTTTCACTCTTCACAAATGGCATTCGAACGCCAGGGAACTAGATACAGTAAACATACAGATTAGCGATGAGACAAGCGACACACAGGAAACCTATGCTAAGCAGCAGCTAGGCGTCCCGCAGAGAGGACAGGGAGCACTTCTAGGCGTTTCTTGGGACATGGTGGCAGACACCATTCAAGTCAAGTTTCCCCCTGAACGCGCCCAACCCACAAAGAGAGGCCTGTTGGCTAAAGTGGCCAAGATTTACGACCCTCTGGGTCTGGTTTCACCTACAACGCTTTGTGGAATATTATATCGCGAGACCTGTGATCTAAAGATAGCGTGGGACAAAGAAATTCCAGAACAGCTGTCCAGGAAGCTGACACGGTGGGAAGAAGAGTTGCCTTCGGGAGTCGGCATCTCCAGAGCTCTGCCTCTGCACAGGGAGCCCATCAGTAATATCGACCTTCATTGCTTTGGGGATGCTAGTGGTAAGGGAGTCTGCACAGCTCTGTACG